AACAGAGAATAAACTGCCCAAATACCCTTAAACAAAGGAAAAGTACGTCCTTTATGAAGGCATAGAGCCTTTACTACATGAAAATGAAAATTAATGAATACACTGTGTACAGTAATTTACCTGATAAGACAGACCTCAGAAAAATACTTTATGAGAGCTTTTATACTTTTATAAAGCTGTCTATAATGAAAATTAATTAACTAAGGATTTTTTGCCCTGCCAGGGTGTGGCCGAGTTATCCGGAGTGCCGGGTTATCGAGAGCCGAGTTTTCGAGGTTCTACTGTAATTAGTGTCAGCCTACCACTCTGAAGACCTGTGTTCAAATTTCGACAGCCAAAACACCCAGAAATTTTGAGGATGGTGTATCCCGGATACATTGGGTTAAATCTCCCACCATTCATCTGTCCCACAACCTATGGTGGGCCTGAAAACAAGACAAGTCTTAGTGTCCTGTGGGTGCTAAATGGGCCTTATTTATATGAAAATTAATATGGAACTAGATCTATACTAAATTTCAAACAACAAATTATATATATATAAGTTCAATATATCTTATAGAAAGTAATTCTATATAGAATTTATTTATTAATATATAAATAGTTAAAATGTTATTGATGAATCACATTCATCAGTATCATTCAGATTACTTTTCAACAGTATACAACAATTATTTATCTATTTTATTTACTTAAATAAAATAGATAAATTAGAAGGTCTTAGAAGGTCTATTGTTTAATTTTATTTAGCAAATGAAACTATATTCAAGTTGGAGATCATTTCATAAAATAGGAATTTCTTTTAACTAGAAATGCTGGGTTCTTTTGTCCTTTCAGAGAAATCAAAGCTAATTATAACATATTAAATTTTAAATAATTTGTAGTCAAATTTAACATATAATAATAAAATATTTTAATTTATTTAATAAACGTAAGTCTTACTTGAGCCATTCGACGCTCATTAGTATTCTTTGTAGTTAAATGTAAAAAAATTAATGCAGGAAGAATCACGCATATCGTTATGCCAATTGTCGAGCCTAATAAACCTAGGACAAATTCAATGTTGGGAACCATAATGGCCGTAGCCATCGTTGCAGTGACGAGCGCACACGTCAGAACACGGAAACGATGATCAGGCATGTAACTACTTTGTAGATCGTAATGGCCCATTCCCTGAAATGTAAGTTATATATATATATATATGTTAAGACATTTTATTATATTATGTTTACTAACATAAATTTTCACCTGTTTAAATATTAGTGAATGAAGACTGCTTCTACAAGGGAATAGACACAAGGGAAAACTAATAACGACTGATAATATAAAACCGACTTTTATAACTTCAGCCGTTAATGATGGCGTCAAACGAATTAAAATATTTCCGCTGATGGGACTATCATGAAAGGCAATATAACCAAAAAATCCAACCTGTAAAGATATAAAATTAATGTTAAATCTCTGGATTAAAATAACATGTATCAAATAAAAATATATGTAAGAACACCAACAGGAATGAATTGTCCATCAAACATTCACTCGAATTCTACAGAATCAATAGTATGAAGATAATTGTTTACATATTTTTGTTTATCAATAAGAAGTCCATGGCAATTTTTGTTTTATAAATCATCATGTATTAAGTAAAGAAAAGCAAATTGTCTTGCAATAATTGATTGTGTAAGTAAGGTCATATTGTACAAAAACTGCATTAAAGATGACAATCAGCCAAATCAAGGTTCTATCAGTTTGATGTGTGATAATTCGTTATATCTGAATGAATACATATAAAATAGCATTGAGAATTCAGCATAAAATTATAACCATAATAATAATGATTATTCAATATATAGTAGAAGTTTGTTAATCTAGCATCCAGTCACATGGAACATCCAGTAATTCAGCATCCACCTCTGAAAAGTAGCCGATAATCTGGAATTGCTCGATAATAATCAAGAATGCCAGTATTCTGCAAATTTGTAGAACCATAGATTGTCTATATTGTATTGTGCCAAACAAATATTGCTTTGTTAGAGCTAGAACATGTTTTAGGAATGGTAATGTGCTTGATTAATGTACTTTCTTTCCTACAGACCAAGGAGAAGCACACCTAACACAGGTTTCTTCTACTAAAATCATAGAGCTTTTGAGAATTATTGTATGCACATGAATCATTGCAAATGTTGATTTTGGGTAATGGTACATCCATTAATGTTTTTGCAGGTTTTTCAATCAATTTTAACACAGTATAATCATGCACTTTATCATTTTCAGACTGATTAAAAGGTATGCATGAACAAATACAGCAGACACACTAGTACAAATGTACAGTACCTGCTCCTGTATCATTACGCCTCATATTATTTTGCAATTAATACTGCTGTATAAACTGTAGAATAATGTGAGATGTAATGATATACTGTTGAATAATTTATTAGATATGATAAGAAAGCAGCTACCTCTTCAATTACCGGTTATATTTTTGTCAATAAATATATAATTAAAGTCTAAGAGTCTAACGTAACTATCAATAAAAATGTATTTAAAGTATTGTGGACAAAATAAATTAATTATATAAATTTTCTACTATAGACTGGTGTGACATATGTATATCCAGAAATTTAATGATTAAATAAATTTTTATTTTAATTAACTATCAGGGTGATCAAAGCAAAGTGATCAGTGGTTTTACTAAAATAAAGAAAAGTATTTGTCTAAAATATTAAAATTTTACAATAATTAAATATAGTCTTCATCCTGCATGATGACTCATTCCCATCACTCTGGCAGCATTTTAACACTGCAATAGAGGCCATGTGACAAACTGTGCTGGATCATTATTCATAATGCATTCGGGACACATTATTCAATGTAATTCCGACCTCATCCCAGTTTCGATATCAAGTACTCTTTACAGCAGCTTTTAGAGGACTTAAGCAGTTGAATCACAATGCTGAAGATTGGGTGAATAAAAAGTGAAATTCTTTCATCCACAAAATAGTCCTGAACCAATTTAGTGGTATGGGGTATGACATTATCATGAGCAATAATGCTGTATGTTGTTTTTATTTTTCCATTCTTCAATGTCGTCTTAACAGTTTTTATATATTTTGGTAGTCACTGTGGTTTTTCAGGCAAGAATTGCCAAAAATAATTTTGCGAAAATCCATGGTCATTAAGAGTATCATCTTCTTTAGCCAAAACCACCCTTAACTTGAGTTTGTCATTGTTTCGTTGGGTGTAGCCAAGCTTTTAATCCATCTCCACCTGGTCTGTACATGGGAATCCATGTTATATCAATTGCAGGTGTACAGTACACTCAAAGAGCTTCCTTGTTTTATGAATTTGAAGCAAATCTGACATGCTGCATTCCAATTCAATTTTTGATCCTCTGTCAATTCTTATGGAACCCAAGTTTTGTGCAATTTGTTGAGACTCTTCAATATAAACTGAACCATTTCATGTGGAATGCCAATTGTTGCCTAAATAGTTCACAGACTTCAATCTCTAGATTCACTCAAAAATTCCTTGATCTCAATGTGATTCTCTTCCTGTTGATAATCACTTCTGTTCTTCCTTGAAGATGAGCCTCTTTGATATCCACTGTATCTTTAATTTGAGCAATCCATCAACAAGTAGTGTTGGCTGAACACACCTGACAATCTAATGCTTTTCTTAGATTTCTGTCAATACCAGCTGCTGACCAGTCAAGCATAGCACTAACTTCACAAAAAACCCTATCATTGATAACATCAATTGAGTATGGAGTTCTACATTGTTCATTTTTATTCATTACTCAAGTATTTTAAATTAACTAATTTGCATATACTATAAGCTATGTAATCAAATGTAAACAAATGTAAAGTGTAAATAAATGTATCAGTATGTGATATTTGATTGTTATAAAAAGCAAAGTAAACTACAACACGGTTTCATCAGAAGAAAATGTTATAATAAGGTTACAGAACTGCTATTGGCATGCCCACTTTGCTCTGACACCTTGATAATTCTGAGACAGTTTTTAACAGATCTTTTAAAATGCACATATTGTAACTTTAATTTTGTATGGATGTAACCTTTTGTTATATTTTAGTTCTTATAAATAAAATTATAATATAAAAATCATATGTCTGGATAGCCAACTTGGCAAAGGAATAAGCATGTTGCTCCAAGAAAATCAGGTTTTAGTATGAGTTTGCTTGTCAGAAATTTTCATACGCAATTTGATCCTTTATCATCTGAGTTGTGCATGTGTGAACTAAGTACATAATTTCAAAGTTCAGTAGATAACGGATTCTCTTAGTAAAAGAAACTAATGTCAAGATAAAATTGTGTTTCAATATAAAATATATATTAGAAATTAAATATAAATGCAATAACAAATAAAGAAAAATAACAATAGTTATCCAAAAATTATAACACCACAAACATTAAACAAATATTTTGTTATAAAAACTTAAATACTAAAGCAAACAAAGTTAAATATTGAATGAAAAAGAAGAAATTTTTTAAACTGGAGATCCTGAATGATGTAATTTTTTATGTTTATTGTAAACAATGTAACTCTAAACAATTTCATCTTGCATATTTTCAACTTGTAAGAGCTCAAAATCATTATAAAAATTGAATGTTTGTGCCATTTTATGAAGAATTTAAATTCAAATAGCACATGCCAATCTGTAATTTGAAATTAATTCACCATTTAGTGACAAATTAAATCATAATTTGGATTCAGGAGTTAAATCTAGAATTAATATATGATGAACACACCAATTTTAACTGAATTTGCGATTTAAATCTTATTCCAGCTTTAGTTTGAGTGGTTAAAATGACTATTAGAGCAAAAGAAAAGTAAAAGGTTAAAAATCATATATTGTTTGAGTTTTCTTTTATTCATATATACAAGTATCTTTCATACAAGGTTTGAAAATTGAGGATATCCCCCATACAACGACTTCTGATTTTGCTCTAATACAGTTTTGGAAATTTTCTGTACAAAATTTCACAATTTTTAAAGGTAAACTTCATCATTTATAAATATCTTTTATTCAAGTAAGCATGCGCATCGTCTCAAATTTGCCCACGGATTTTAGAATATTCAAATTTTCAAATTAGTTTGTGCTTTTCATCAGGTTTAATTTAATGAAAATTGATAAGGAAAGGAAGAAAAAACTTGAACTAACATTCCTATTGACCAAGTGTTGTCATTGTTCTCACACTTTAGCCCTTAAGACCATCACTGTATTTTCTTTTTACAGATTAATCTTCGTGTTTAAATAAACTTCACTAAATCTCCGTATTTAGTGAAGTTTATTTAAACATTTTTAGGTAAGTGTAAGTGTTATTAAACTTTTTTTTTAATGTAGGTATTACAGGCCCATGAATAATTACTTCGTTTGTAAAAATGATGAAAAAAATACAATGTTGTCTTGGTGCTCAAACAATTCAGTATTAGAACACAAATTCTGGAAAATGCCGCTCAGTATCCAACTGAACAAATTTTTGATTAATAACGTATTTTTATTTCATCATCTATAAAAACTTTTTACAATACAAATAAAAAATACGAAAATGCTCCTGATACATCTGACTGAGATGGACAAAAATGCCAAGATGACGCTTCTTCATAAAAAGAAACACCCTAGTTTAACTAAAATTAATATTGACACGTAATATAGTACTTTTTAATTGTGCTTGTTAATTAATTATTGATTGGAAATAAATTATCGATTGTTTTAATAAACATATTTCTCTTAGTAACAAAAAAAAAATAGCATACTTCTGCTAATTTCTGTAACATAACCCTGTGCTTTGCATTTGTCCTTTGTTTCATATAGCACAGATTAGCATAGTATAGCACTTTTTTTGGAACATAACTAGTGTTATACAAAAGATATCTGTATATTATATGTTAATATTATAAAAAAAAAGTATGTAAAACTTAACATTTCATTGATTTCAAATTTGTAAATAACATCACATAACATGTTGAGCATTCTAGTTTAGAATATCAGATATTTGAATTTTGCAGCTAAGCCTGCCTGAGGTTGAATAAATTCTTTGCTGGAAAAGTGTGGATAGTTTGGTTTTGAACATTTAGCTATGTATTAGCTTTGTCCAATATGTTATAATTATATATATGTTTGTCTGTATACACACACAAACAAACACAA